TCTTGCAATAAGGTCAGCTTTGTCATTGCCGCTAATACCACTGTGTCCTGGTAACCAGGCAAAAGAAACGGAATACCCTCTCAACATGCAAAGATAAAGACTTTGTCTTATGTCACAAATAATGGGATAAACTGGTTTTGATTTAAACGGATATTTGGCTAGAGCTTGCAAAGAGCTCATAGAGTCAGTGAAAACTATTGCCTTATGTAATTTCATTAAAAGTATATATTCTACAGCTTTTAAAATACCATAGCATTCCCCGGTAAAAACTGAAGATTCCGGTGGAAGTTTAATTTTTTGAACGATATTAAATTGTGAATGAAACACACCCACACCTACACAACCGCTGTCTGGTTTTGATGCATCAGTAAAGATGTAGTGCCATTCATTCCATTCAATGTCAGTTATAAACATAAATTTGGCATTCAATTCTGAATCATTTTTTGATAACCCAAAATCATATTTAATATTAGGAGATAAAACTAAAGATTGATATGAGCATTTATAAATGGGAAAACAGGACGATGTAAAAGTGGGAGATTCTATGGATTTATATTTTTCATAACTTTGTATTAAACATGGAGGTTTTTTATGTTTCCAATAAGATGAAGACGAAATAAAGATATATAGTTGAGATAACTTTTGAATAAGCGGATGATCAGATAATTGTAAACAACGAAAAAAGAAGCGATCAGATAAATATTGCCTTCTTAAAACCAAAGGTGGATCACCGACTTCGAGCTGTAAAGCATTGATTGGACTTGATTTCATTGCTCCAGAGATAATCCTCAAGGCCTTTGATTGAATTAAATCCAATTTCTTAAAAGCAAATGAACTTCCTGGAGCTAACAAAAAAGTTCCATAATCAATGACACTCCTTATAAGACCATTATAAGCAAGTTTTAGTGAAACGGGATGTGCTCCCCACCAAACTCCAGCAAGGCACCTAAGAATGTTGAGGTTACGCTCACATTTCGTGGAAATATAATTACAGTGGGACAGACCTGTTAATTTATTATCTAGCACGATACCTAAAAATTTAATTTCAGTCTTTATAGGAATGTATGAGTTATCATAAAGCACCTTAATTTGTTGCGGTGATCTCATTCTTGAAAACAAAACTACACTACTCTTGGTTACAGAAAGATTAAGACCATTTGCATCTAACCACGTTTTTAACAAATCTAATGAATCAGATAATTTGGCAGAAGCAGATTCTATGGACTTCGCAATAAAATATAATAAGAGATCATCAGCATATTGTAAAATTTTGACGGATTTATCAAGGAATGATTCTAGATCGTATGTGTATATGTTGAATAAAATTGGACTGAGAACAGATCCTTGTGGAAGGCCTTTCCATACTGTTCTAGATAATTTGGTATCTTCATCTAGATCCATATGTATTGTTCTTTCTGATAAAATATTAATAATGAAATTAGAAAGCATTACCGGTACATTTAAAGCTTGTAATTTAGTTTTTAAAATAGAAATTATTACATTATCATAGGCAGAATTTATATCTAAAAAGGCTGAGAGGATTGACAAATTTTGTGAGAAAGCTATATGAATATCTGAAATAAGAATGCTCACATTATCTAAGGTGCTCTTACCTTTCCTAAAACCAAACTGGTTCGGGGATAGTAAGTTATTACTTTCTAAAAACCATTCTAGACGGTTCTTCACTAAATGTTCAGCTAGCTTTAGTAAGACAGACGAAAGTGCAACAGGACGGTATGAAGATGGTTCAGAAGGTGGTTTATGAGGCTTTAGAAATGGTATAATAATCTGAGACTTCCATGAAGTAGGTATATTTCCCGAAATAATTATGGAATTAATTATATTTAAAAAGTAAATTAATGTCGCATCGCTAGCATTTTTAAAAAAGGAATACGGTATACCGTCTTCTCCCGGTGCAGAGTCTTTAATACAAGCTAGAACACCTTTAAGTTTTACAAGAGTAAAAGGAGACTCAAGTTCGGATAATTCGTCAGAGACGGATAGAGAAATATTGTAAAGGCATTCCGGCACATAACTAGGAGCAAGGCAATCTAAAAATTTATTCGCTAAAGTTAAATCGAGTGCAGAACGTGATGTATGATCACTAAAGGCAGATCTGAATCTTTTAATATTATAACAAACGACTGATGAATTAACTTCTGGACAGATAGAAGAACAAAATCTTCTCCAACCTTCCAATTTCTTTTTTTTCAGTAGTTTTCGAGTAGAACGTGAAACTGCGGTGTAAATTTCAAAATTTTCTGATGTCATGTAATTATTATAATTTTTTTCAGCCTCTTTACGATTTTTAATTGCTTCCGTACAATCTTTGTCCCACCAAGGTGGGGAGGGAATTTTTCCCTGAAGCACTATTTTTAACAGGAAATAATAAATCAGCAACCTCCTTCATATTAATTATCAAGTCATTACAACATTGATGTTCATTTCCATGATAAACAATAGGTAACTCCGATATTTTATTATCTAAATATTGTTTGTAAATATTCCAGTCTACATTTGATAAATTATATTTAAGTCGAGGACCACTCTTTCGACTTGAGGGAATGGAAATTGGAAAAGAAAGAATGAGGGGAAAGTGATCGCTTCCGAAGGTAGAGGAATGAGGATACCACGACAGTGAAGAAGCTAAATCAGAAGAACATATTGAAATATCAGGAGCACTAAACCCTTCATTCGGTGCAGTTCTACGTGTCGGTACATCTGAGTTAATAATACATAAGTTGTAAGTGTCAATTATCGTCAGGAGTTTTCCACCATAAAAATTAGAAGTAGAACTGCCCCACGATTGGTGCTGAGCATTAAAATCGCCCATTACGAGAAAAGGTTTAGGTAAAATTGAAAATAATTGTTCTAGTTGTGAATATATTTGGCATGTAGGATCAGGAATATATAAAGTAACAAAACAGATACCATTTATAATTATAGCAGCTGCATTAATGCCGCTATATATAGGAAGCGAAAAAGAAGAAAAAAGAAGGGAGTTTTTGACCAATATGGCAACACCGCCATATCCGTCAGCTCTATCATCACGGAGACTTGTAAAGCCTGAAATCCTAAAAGGATATCCTGGCTTTAACCAAGTCTCTTGTAGAGCTATTATAAAAGGATTATATTTATTAATCAAATAAAATAAGTCTGATTTCTTATTTGTTATGCTACGACAGTTCCACTGAATTATTTGGACTTTGTAATCCATTGTGAGAAGTTAATAATTGAGAAAATACATTGTACATGGCATCGTTGGACGGTGGTAAAGTTGTTTGTATCATTTTTGATTGCGATAACACTTTAATAAGCATGAGAATAATATCAATGATGGATTGATTATTGTCAATATTATTTGATGATAATGCACAACCATTAGAGGGAGCAGGAATATTATATTCCTTAACTATGGCTTCATGGGCAGAACGATCATATCCTTGTTGTATTTTTTGAGGAGAGCGTGGTTTAAGTGTAACTGTTTTTTTATATGATGATTGTATATGTGGTAATGATGATTTCTCTTTAAGGAAAGAAGATTGAAAATGAGATTTATTGGAAGGAGATGATGATGTTAATACATCTGAATATAGTTTAGAAGTTGGAGGATGAAATTTTGATGCTTCAGCATAAGAAACACAACTATGGGCCATTGTTTCTTTAATGGCTTTCTGACGTGCATATTCAGGACATTTTTTACTAATTGCTGAATGAGAACTATTACACAAGATACAAGAAACATTTTCCTCATCTACTTCACATTTATCACCTGTATGATTTTGCCTGCATTTATAACACCGAGGATTTGAACGACACTGCATCTTGACATGTCCGAACCTACAGCAGTTATAGCATTGGATAGTAGGGTAAATGTACAAATCTACAGTTAATGATGTGTAAAACATAAATACTCTTTTTGGCAATATTTGTCCATCAAAAGTAATAACAATGGTTTCAGTATTAATAAAACTTGGTTGTCCTTCATTAATTGTCTTTTTCTTTATTCTTCTGGTTTTTAGAATTTTCCCACAACCTATCGGTACTGATATATTTTGGATTACTTCCTCTTCTGTCCAATCTTTAGGAATACCCCTCACAATTCCCATACGGGTTACATGGAAAGAAGGTATAAATGCCTTAAAATTATGTGTCACTAAGTTACTATTATTTAAAAATGCATTTGCATTTTCAAAATTTGAGAAAGAAAGCGATAAACGGTTTCTTCCTATTCTTTTGAGGCTACCATTCACTATATTATTTATCTTATTAGTGTGTAAAAAGCGACCAAATGCAATAGGATGTAATGTAGTGTTATCATTAGGATGTGTTTCATTTTTTTGTACATGAACGACATAAGGTGCTATATCCTCGGCATTGTACAAAGTTCTGCTTAAAGTACTGGGTGGAGAAGCAGGTTTAACAGACTCGGTATTGTTTACAACTGGTATTGATACTTGAGTTTGATTCTCATCTTCAATACATTGACAATCACTATCTTTAATTTTAGATTCAAGACCCTTGGTGTGCCTCCTTCGTTTTTTATTGCAATGTTTGCAAATGCGACGTTCACCACGTACTCGCTTACGTTTAGAACTTGCAACGCTAGAACCATCTGTGTCCATACTAGATTCACCCAATATATCAAAACTATTATTGAATGGAATAGTTATATTTGCAGACACCTGGGGGGTTGTCCCCCCAGGGTCTATAGGTGGATCCATAATGTTAATATAGGTAATTTACTTACCAATATTTACAGCAACAAACACTATTACTACAAAATATACAATTAAATATACAATCTAATACACAATATATAAAAAAGACTAATCCTTATATAAATAAAAATAAAATTAATTTAAAGAAGATCAAAAAACACTCCCGCTTTTTTAAACGTTTCCCGCCACAGTTGATGTTAGTAAATATATCTAGGTAGGTAGTCGTAAGTACTATCCTCAATCTAATTTAAACATTTAAATACCAACCACATATGACTGTATCTGTGACATAGTGTCTGTTCTCGTCTACTCTATGATGTTACTGTCATTTCAAAATTTTGGTTATAATTTCGATTTATCGTAAATTAAACGAAACTAAATTAGTTACACACTCCACACCAGTAAAAACTTACTTTAAAAAATCATCTGATAATTTGTATTTATATTATTTAATTAAATCTGCACAATGGCTATTTATAACAACACGCGGTTCTTAATTAAAAGAATCATTATAGCTGACTTTAGAACTAGTCTTAGATTTTATTCCGATCAAATTGACAATCCTAGTGAAGAACAGCCTGTAGATCCTACAAAAGATAGAACCAAAATTATCCCACTTGAAACTAGCATGAGATATTTAGAAAGTAAAGCATATAAACAAACTTATGGAGACAATCCAGTGTGGACATTATATCGACGTAATCATAAAGGTGGATTTCCACCAAAGAAGACAAGAAGATCATGTGTCAGGAATGGTGTTATATCTACTGGAAATCCTTGTCCCATTTGTAGGGATGAATATTTAGTGTTGGATCATAGGAATACAAAACTGCTGGAGCAGTTTATATCTGACTATACTGGCCAGGTAAATAATAATAATTCAGAAAATATAATACTCCATTATTATACATATAAATAAATAATAAATAAAAATGAAATTAGTTAATTTGAATATTCTCCTAATGAAGTTGAAAATAAATGTGATAACTAGTTGACAGATTGACCAAACTTATATAAAATTACCCAAACAAAAACTTCCTATAAAATTATAAATATTAACATCAACCATCATTTTTGTTAAAATCACCATCATAATTTTTTTATGTTAAATAGTAAAATTCAAAAATATTAATTCATGCATTAACTTTTGGCAGATACTGAATGAATGTATAGCAACTCGGTACCGCGGGGCTTTGCCTCCCCTTAAAAGTTGCCCTATGTTTTTTTATACAACTTAGAATACTTTGTTGACCTATTCAAGAAACTATTGCATGAAAAATTCACAATAAAAGTTCACTGCCATATTGCCACCCTTTCGGTTTTGAGGGTGGGACATTGTAGTGAATTTACAAGGCTGTATCTTGTAAATTCACTGCAAAATCCCATAGGCATAACACTAGTTCTCAGGAATGGCAATGCATGGTATCATGGGCGCAATAGTATACTCTATTATCTCCATAGTACTGCTAATGTTTATAAGTGATTGTAACCTTTTTCCATCAGGTGGGCCGTCAGCTAGTTTGCCATTTTAAGTTATATAAAAAAAAAGTAGTATATTATGAATTGATTATATCATTAAATATTTTCATATTTATTTACTTACCAAAAATATTGACTCTTTTATTTTTACGTATATTTTTATTAAATTACAAGAATTGCATGGTTGACACAAAACTTCACTAGCTGGATATTAGTTTACAAGCTTAGTTATAAAGTTGTGGCACTGGTTTCTTGGTTAAAAACATTATTGTATCTAAATATACCCAACCCATATAGTCCATATTGGTTAGGTACACATTTCATATTTCATTTTTGTTTATTTATACTTCAATGCACAGTTATATAATATAAGGAAGTGTACTTAATATGGTGGACTTAACACCTAATGGCATTCTCTATCAGTCAACCATGAGAAAAGCAGAACATTAAGTAAGCAGTGTATTTACTATTAATTAATTATGAATTGAAATTAATACACCCAGTATACTTTATTCTATGACATTGATTGGAAAACACAAATAACAGGCCGAATCTGAGCGATAGCAGCACCAGCTTCTTGCCGCATTGAATTTTAAAATACTTGTGTGTATGTCGAATGTTACATTTGCCATAATGATGACTATTGTTAACAAGTGGAAATTAAACTAATGGTATTATTTTTTTCAGATACTGGATGCTTACAAAACTGGTCTTTGCCAAAAGAAGCATAAAGAATTACTTGTAGCTATTGAAAGAGCATGGGACCAAGGTCTCCTTACATATGATGTTCCTTTTAGGAAATATGATTACTCATTATACAATAAAACAGCAAATAATTAGTATGTTATATGTATAAAATATAATTTATGTAGTTGAATAAAATATACTTTCCAAAAGTTCTTTTATTGCACAAAACTTATTAGTTATTATTATAAGGAAGCATAATTTTCTATGGCACTTAAATATTAATATAAGATATATCTTTATAGACTAGTATATCACTTTATTTTTAATGATGTATTAAGGAAGACAACACATATCATAATGATAATTATTAATAGTTATAATATTGAAAATCATAATGTTCCAGTGTTAATAGTTACTATATAATATATGATAGAACACTTATAGCTCACTGTCAAACAACTGGTTATAATGTGCATTATGTGAAATTGTCCATTAAATTAGTTCTATTCCTTTGAACTAATAATTCCCTGATGAGTGCAGATTTCTCTCTTTCTAGAATTGATATCCTTTCATTTTTTCTATTTACCTCCTGAAACAAAAGTAGCAAATAGGAAATCTCAGCTTTTTAAGCGACTTCCAAAAGGAGGTTCTTATAGGTAACAATAAGATTTTGCGAAAAAAAACTAACCAAAAAATAATTAATATGTAATAATTAATACACAGATAAACTCTATAAATCGTTAAAAGAATTTCAAAATCGATTCAGAATCAGCGAAGTTATCGCGTGACTTACAAAAAAATATAAGTAAATTAAGAACCTCGTACTTTTTCAAATGTCTTAAAAAATAATTTCGCTTTAACGAGATATAAAGGTATTCTAAAGTAGAATATATTAGGATTTAACGATTTGCTGACAGACCTCTGCTAACATACGATTTTGAGACTGAAGCATAGAAGCATTAGGTGCGTTGGATGTTGAAAGTTGTGCCATCGGTAATGCCAGGTTCATATGAAGTGATAGTTGTCCATTTCTCCAACCAGCTGCCAGAGTTCCTAGCTGACGATTGAGTTCTAACACGCGAGCTCGTAGTAGTTCTAAACGTTCTTGATGTGCTTCACTCCAAGGTTCCTAAAAAAATTGTACACATCAGTAATAAAAATAACTAACATTATAAATACATACTTATTACTTTATATAAATATATTTACTTTTTATATCTTTATATATATAAATATATTAATGTCCTTCTTTTTCGAAATTGGTTAATGAACCAACTTTGTAATCTACTATTATTATACATTATAATATATAAATAGTACCTACCTATGTATATTGATATGTCTGTTAGGGTCGTATTTTTAACCGACTTCAAATAGAAGGAGGTTCTCAATTCGGTTGTATTTTTTTTTTAATTTGTTACTTCATAATTCAATCAATTGTAAATCGATTTGGATAATTCTTTTTTATCTGAAAGGATATACTTAAGATTGGTCTCATAGAAATTTTAATAAAATAGGTTCAGTCATTGAAGTCGGTTATACGAGTATACTTTTGACAACCACACAGACCTGTTTTCATATAAGATCTATATTATCATATATTATCTTGATTATATTATAAAATTGTAAGTATACCATGTACATATGTATATGGAAAATATTTAAGAAAATGGCAATAGAAGAATAATAGAATTAACGATGAATTACATTTTTTATATTTGTCTGTCTGTCTATATGTTTGTTTCAACATCACGTAAAGAAACACGTTTTATTTTGATATTTTGCTGATCTAAGTGTTATTTTGCGGACGCCCATATCACTGGTTAGTTGATTAGATTTATTTAATACCAGCACCATTAGCATGCATCGAGTGTTGGCAGTTGCGCGTAAGCTATTGGTGGCAGAATTAAACAAAATAATTCTAATCAACTAATCGTTTTATGTTTATATCTCATATAGGCGTGGTTCATTGCATTAGTTTCCTTACTTTTGTAATTCACACATACGAAACAGTTTGCAAAAAGCTAATGTTTAATAAAATTTTTTTTTAGCTTACGACATAGACACCCATTCTTCCTGCATAACGCATTTTTTCTTGTACTTCTCCTAATTGTTTCAAGTACCATTCGCGCGCTTCCTCTACAGCTGTCAATCCTTGTAACAAAACGTCTTTTTCTTGTTCAATTTGTTTCATTCTCTTCAAAAGATTATAATCGACTCCATTGTGTAAAGTATGTCGTCGCGGCTCACGTCGGCGAGATGCACGACGCATATTTTGTGATTGGGTTTCATTAGTTGATCGGCCATCACCAAGACCTCTACTCCGTTCTTCCAGTACTTGAGATATGTCTTCAAAATTTATTTTTGTGTCAGTCATTTCTTCGTTATCAAAAACTGTTTCTTCTTCTAATTTGTAATTAAGTCTAGAATTTTCTTTTCTTTCCAAAGGATTTTTTTCTAATCTTGGTGGTTTTGGCGGCCCATAAGGCCTGGATTGATCATGTTTAGGTATATTATTAATTGGAGTGTGATGTAATGTTTCTTGAATTGAAGGATCTGTCCGCTCTATTAGTTGAGGCATACTGATAGTTCGTTGTTGTGCTGAGGTTTCAGAAGACTTCATAACATTCCAATTTCTATCTATATTTTGAACATCGTTTACGTCTAATAATGGAGCAGAAGGTGGTCGTTGTCCCTGTGCACGAATACCTGAATTTGTGACTTCATTATTTAGTCGATCCACATTATGGGAGGCATTTTCAACTTGATTACGAAGAAGGCATATTTTAAGACCCGTACAGAATCGTTTAAAGCTTAGTAATCCATCGTGGGAGGCGACCTTCTGAAGGCTTTCTATGACACCACGGGGTAAACCTTTTGTACGATCATCACGCCAACGGTTTTCGATATCTGTAAGTTTTACATACCCAGTATGTTTATCATCCATAATATCGAACAATGTCCTCATTGCCGAAACAAACTGCTTCGGTAAAGAATCCACATTTCTTGGGTTTATTTGAGTCATATTAATAGTGTTATTTTCTTGAATAGGTTAGGTACTTAAAATAAACACTAGATTTGAGCACCTGTCAATGAGTAAGTTTCAAGGCCGATAACACGTAAAAATATAATATATACTATGCTCATTACAATTTAAAGTATATAATTTTAATTCAATATAGCCATTATCTATTGTTAATTGTATCTCTGTACACAGCACATAAACACCAACGGTCGTTTTGTTGACTGACCACAAGAGCACATGTATGAGAATAAAAAGGTGACCGTTTGTTGAACGGTAATATGTGATGGCAGTGGGCGAGGCGACCGGCGTAGTGTGAGTGAATTTGCAAGTATAGCTCGACGAGTGCGAGCAAGAGAACCGGTCAAACAGCATTTCGGGCTTCGAGCAGGTAGAGACGGTCGCGGAGTCGCGGGTCACCCACCATTGTAGCAGACTCTTAATATATTGACACTTTTATTACAATATCATTCAATTTAATTATAAAACATCAAAACATTACATAGATTTATGCCTATTATACACCGTCAGAAATTGTATATTTTATAGTATTATAATTAGGTATATACAAGTATATTTTAAACACATACAAACTATCCTATGTTCTAAATTAGGATATGATCTATCCGTGTACCAAATTTCATTCAAATCCGTTAAGTACTATTTACGTGAAACATCCATCCTTACATCCATGTTCACAAACTTTCACTTTTATTATAGATAAATAGATATTTTTTATTGTTTTCTCCAAAATATTACAATAGTAAACTTATTATTACTATAAATAATTATTATTATACTACAAATAATTATTATTATAGTAATAGGATGGATGTTACTTATAATTTGTCTACGTATATATATATGTATATATACTTATAATAATATATCTACGGTATACTATGCATGTTTGTATGTATATATAGCTAGTCCTCAGCGTTAGTCTTAATATATAAAAAGACTATAGCACGTATCAATATATTCATTCAGGCAAATTCTCAAAAGTAGGACCGTTCTTAAAAACATTGCTTATTAATGTAATCGTATACTCTAACTTCATCTCTGCATTTGTATTATTGTGAGTGTGTATGTAGATGTCTAAGTTTTTGCGAGCTTTTTAGTCCTCTAAGAAATTTATATGCAAACCTAACTTATTCAAATTACTGAAATTTTTGTTTGGATTGTAATTTTTTATTTTACAATTTCATAGCCTTTTCGTTACATTTTCTAGTGGCACATTATGTGTAAAATCAAATGATTAATCGTAACAAAACAAGCCAGAACATTTTTATGCAAATAAAAGAATTAATAAATTATTTTAAATGAAATATTTGAGTAGGTATATCTATCGTGCAATAATAGAGCCCAAAAAGAAACATCATAAAGATACTTATTGTGTTTTATTTTTTAACCTTTACATTAGACTTTAACTAGAAAACAAATATAAATTTTCATTAATGTAATGTCTTTTGCAATTGGGAAGAGACCTATATCCAGTTATAGGCTGATGATGATGATAATTGCTATTTCAAATAACACTGAAGCAGGAATAAATGATAATGTCGGTTCTCTTATGGATGAAAATGGAATGGTAATCCCGTCTGCGCTATCGATATACGGGGAGCACCAGTGACGGATGATAGATGAGTATAGAAGCAGATTAGTAAACCAATCGTGACGAATTTTACAATAATTAACTAAGATATTTTTTATGGAGAAACGCTTGGAGGTCGACCTGATAAGGTATATTGCCAGCAATAGAACTATTAGATCCATTGCTAGCAATATACCGTACTACGATTACTAACAATCCCATTCCCCTGGAGATATTTTTAGGGGCCTAGACATGCGTATGTCGAGGAAATAGGCAAAATACCGAAGAAGAGCCAAATTAAAAATACCCGTAACGGGCAAGTGTTTATGAAAAGATTGATGAATGTGGAGGAACCGAAATAGGTCCATTTGAATCAAAACATTTGGCATAGCCTATTGCTAGCAATTAACCTTGTCAGGCGACTTCCACATAGTAGCCTCTGGAAACCATCATGCTGAATTTATGTGTTATTCATTATGACGGGCTAAATGACCTGCCTTTTCACAGAAAAACAAATTTGAAATTCACATTTGGTATCCCAATAGCGAAGTGTAATAGGCTCTCAATATTTAGGGAAACGGTATACCCTAGGAAAAAAAGACCTACCTTTTTATTCTCACGTATCATCCCTCACTGATGCACAGCCAACGTATACTGTAAGCGCAGATGGGATTATTATTCCATTATCATTGTTAAGAATTGTAGCTTAAATAAATTTTGCCTAACAACATTATCGTACAAAATAAAAGTCTTGTCGGTTGTTATCGAATGTGTCGGTAGAACGTACGTTCGTTGTCGTCGTTCTTGTTTTAAAATATCGCACGCGTGCATATATTGCCGCGAATATAGTTTTTTCTTTTCGTATCGCTTTTTTAATCATATTACACATAATCAAGAGGCTGATTGAGAGGAGGGCATTGCACTGCTGATCGGCGGTGGATAGGTAACCTGGATCTGAGAGTAAGTTCGAACGAGCCAGAAGTACTGGGAAGCCTAAAGCCAGAACTTAATCCTGCTAACTACAAAGCTTCAGGTCAGTGGTCTCCACTTTCATTATCCTCTTGTGTTTCCTATTTAACTACCATCATCGTAATAAGTTTCATACAGTCCATTAATAACCGTTGCCGGACTATTAATTTATTTTTTTTGTAAGATCTTATTTTACGAACGGTTAACTGAACGGTGTGGACTGCCGTACGGTGAGCGTGGACTGTAGGGGCGTTGGTTCAGGCTGGAGTGAAACACAGCGATTACTATTCTGAAGCCTCCGGTACCGTCTGAAGAGAGTATTTTTTCTTCTTGTCCTATTTCTTCTCGAGTGTAGTGCGTCGCTGCCCGGAAGCGAATGCCGCTCGACGGGAGGCGGCCTATCTTTATACCCGCCCGCTCGCACGATAACATTTCCAACTCGCGTTAGCGATCTGTGCGAGCGGGACGGGGCGAGAATGAACGAGACGCGTGTCTCTTCAGTTCGGTACTCTATAGCGTCTATTTATTGCAATTTACAATTTCTTAATTCTATTTATTGTTACAATTTCTATTCGTAGGTAATAATGACAACACGCAAAGGAATACTTTATTTAACTTACACTATCTTAAATCTATGTAAATCTATATAAATAACAGAATACAGAAACGATTAACTAGGGACTTAACAACTATAAATTACGATATATACAAATAATGTCGCGAACATAATCTCCCGCCGCAGCTCTCGTAGCTGGAGTTAACTCGTGTTCGCGTCGCTCGATGTCGATGTGGGCAGTATGATCAGCTTCTTAGTGGGTCGCCGTAGGATGCCCTTGTTCGTCCGCACGTCGACCGCTCGAATCTCGCCGTCTGGTCCAGGGTAGGTCGCCACCACCACGCCTCGCTGCCACGTGTTGCGAGGCAAGGTCCCATCAGCTATTAGGACCAGGTCGTCCATTTTGATGGCTCCGTGTGTAGCTCGGGGCTCCCGCCGGTGTTGCAACTCGGGTAGGTACTCCTTCACCCACCGGTTCCAGAAGCAGTCAGCTAGCCTCTGGCTGGCACGCCACTCCTTGTGTCCCGCCGCGTCGCTCTCTGTGAAGCTGCCTGGCAGTGGGACGCGCGATGGACCGCCCAATATGAAGTGATTGGGGGTTAGGGCGCTGTCGTCGTCTGCCGATGTTGACAAGGGTGTGCTCGACCTCGACCAGTAGAGTGTGGAGGACCTCTTCCTTGGGCGCCCGCTCGTTCAACGTAGCGGCTAGTGCGGTCTTCACGCTACGCACCAACCGTTCCCACGCACCTCCCATGAAGGGTGCGCTCGGGGGAATGTAGCGTCACCGGATGAAATGGACTGATGACTCTTCTTGGATGGCTTCCTCGGCTGCTTTCTTCAGTTCGACGTCAGCACCTTTGAGGTTGGTGCCTTGGTCGGACCATAGCTCAGTGGGACACCCTCTGCGGCTTATGAAGCGCCGCAGGGCCATTTTGAGGCTGCCGGCGATTTCCAGGTGGACTGCGCGCGTCGTTAAGCAGGTGAAGAGCACTCCGTACCGCTTCTGGTGAGTGCGGCCCACTGTCACGGTCATAGGCCCGAAGTAGTCTAGGCCGGTGAACGTGAACGGTCGCTGATGATGCGCCAGCCTGCTCTGTGGATGGTTGCCCGTTGACGGCTGCGCCGGTCTTGCTCTTCGTAGGCGGCACAGCTGACACCTCTTCAGTTCACTGCGGACGGCGTGTCGTAGGCGCAACACCCACAAGTGTTGTCGCACCTCGTTCGTGGTGATCTCGAAGCCGCCGTTGAAGTTTCCGATGCACCCATGCGATGTATAGGCGCACCCAGGCGTGGTTTCCGTCGACGATGGGGGCTCTCGTTGCTCGGCTGACAAATCGGCGGCGGCCGCTATTCTCGATCGAAGTCGCAGAATGTCGTCGTTGTCTATGACGACCGACAGCTGTATGAGTCGACTGGATGACGGCAGCTGTTTCCCATGTTTCAATACTGCGATTTCGTTGCCGAACGCCTCTTGTTGCATCGCGCGAATCCATAATCTAGGTAGTGTGTGTCTATGGGGATGAAACACACAGATGGACTATTGCTGTTCTTGATTTTCATCTTCGTCTTCTCTCTATCGACTTTCTTCGTGCGGGTCCAAGTGGGGTCGGCGCTCTCTTTCTTCTTGTTTCTCTTTCGGATGGCGGTGCAGCGTTGACTGGTCGGTCGCAGGAGGTCGATGAACTGCAACACCCGTGCTGAACTGCGAACAAGTTTCAACCAATTAGAAAAACGTGACGGATCGGGTAATGCTATAGACAACTGCGTCGCGTTCTGTAGCTTGTGTACGCGTTCTTCTCCCGTTTTCGCTTGACTATCGTCGCTTGAACTATCTTCACGCGGCCACTGTTCTTCGTTTTTGTCGAATTTCCTTTCGACCAGTTGGAGACGTCGCATTGCCGATTCATAGTTGTCCGGCGGCACAGGGTCGTCCTTCTTCCACAGTAACCCCGTCTCGTATCCTCCCGCCGGTAACGGACGAGTTTTTTCTTCTAAAATGCGTAGGGCGCGACGTTCCTCTTCATAAACCTCTTCGGTGCGATCCCCAGCGATTCGAGCGCGAAATGTTGCTTCATCATTTCTTCCATCGATTGTTCCTCTTCATGTGTCGTCACTATGTGGCTGATTCTGTGCACCTGCTGTCTTGTCCTGCCGCGACTCGTACCGTGCAGTACCCATCCCAGGTCGGTGAGTGATGCGACCGGCTGCGTGTCGGATCCTCTTCTGACTTCGTGGGCCAGCAGTAGGTGCCAGTTGTCTTGCCCCAGCAGTACCGTCGGTTTGCCCTCTTCGTAGACCAATTCCCTCTCTATGTCCCGCAGATGTGGACAGCCCTTGATGACGCTGCGTGGTACCGACTGCGGTGATAACTGCAGTCTGTCCATCGTCCGTGCCCCCACTGTGTATTCTTGTGAATTCCGCCCGCGGATCTTGAAGTGAACACGCGTCGATTGAGCTGCGTTGATCCGTGCCCCGGCCACACCTTCCATGTAGAATGGTGCGGGGGGACCCGTAGCACCGATTCGCTCCGCCACCGTCGTCTCGATGATGGTGCAAGTCGACCCGTCGTCCAGTAGCGCGTAGGTGTCGCACGTTCCCGTGGGACCGGTGACTCGTATCGGCAGGATCTTCAGGAACGCGATCTTGTCGTTTTCCCTTGCCGATGCGGTGACTGCGGCGGACTTGTCCTCGACGACGTGTGGTGTTACTTCATTCTCCGGCTGTTGTCGCGTGGTGTGCAGCAGAGGGTGATGAGTCTGCGTGCACTCATCTACTCCACATCTCTTGCTCTTGCAGGCGTGGCGAAATCTTCTCACTTTGAGGCAACGGAAACACAGCCTATGAGTCTTCGCTAGCTCCCATCTCGCCGATGTGTCCGCTTCCTTCATCGTCTTGCAGTCCGATGGAGCGTGTCCCTCTCGTCGACACATCGGGCACGGTGGTGTAGCGGGTTTCTCCTGCGTCGTGTATGTCTTCGCCGTCTTCCATCTTCGGACGGTATCTCCTCGGCGGGGGCGAAGTTTCCAATCGTGCGGCGGTCCTTTGCAGGAACTGAGAGAGTGTTATGAGGTCCGGTTGTCCCTCCGGTTGGTCGTTGGCGAAATCGTAGTACTTGAAGCGTAGTACCGACGGCATCTTCTCTGTGACGTTTCTCACTATTTCTTCGTTGTAGAGGTAGTGACTCTTGTTCAGCGCTCGTATCGTGGCGACGACGTTCTGCACCTTGCTTGCGAAGAGGCAGACGTCTCTTGCGTTGTCCGAGAGTCGTGGTAGCGCGCGGAGTTTGTTCAGTTCGGCTGTGACGAGTGCTCCAGGGCGGCCGAACCTCGCGGCTAACATCTTCATTACTTCTTCTGCGGTCGTAGACCCGACGAATAGGAGCGTGCCGCGTCCTTTGCGGCCCCCTTCAAGCTTCTGCGCAGTCTTGCTAGGTTCTCTTGTTCTGTGAGTTGACTTGCGCTCTCTTCATAGGCCATCTTCCATGGTAACCATCGCTCGACGATCCATTGAAGACTGGCAACTCGGTGACTCTTGACGCTGTGGAGGGCAGTATGTTGCGAGCGGCCATCTGCATGGCGATAAACTCATTACAATCGATGCCCACCTTCAGCACCGGTTCTTCTTTCTTCATCGACTGCATCGCTGCTGCTATCGTAGGCATGGCGGCATGTGGGTCAACGTGGCGTGCGTGGTCCCGGTGAAGTGCGTCGCTGCTCGGCTGTGGCGGCGGCGCTCTCGAATCCTCTTCAACGGGTCTCGATGGGACGAACCCCTGACGCTTGCCGGTGACTTCTTCTATCTCTGGTACATGCGGCTCCATTGTGAGTGCCAGCGTGCTTCGACGAACCCAATCCGACGTTCGTTCTCTTCTGACGGTAGCGTCGTCGTCTTCTACTTCCTCGTCGTCCTCTGATTCGGCTTCCAGGGCGGCGACACGTGCGGCGGCCAATTCCACCTCCTTTCGAAGTAGCTCCTCCCGTGCCTTGGCCAGAGCCTTCTTCTTCTGCGAGGCCGTGGTGCGAACCGTGCGTGCCGTGCCGTGCTTCGGTTCCTTCTTCCTTGCTGTCTCCTCTGTCGTTCCTGTGGCTTCGGTAGTCTCCGTGGCTCCTGTGGTCGTCGTATCGCCGGACGTGTTCGTAGTCGATGTGGTGGCGGCGGTAGACGACGTGGCAGCGACAGATGACATTCTGACAGCCGCAGACGACGTGGTGGCAGCAACGGACGGCGTGGCAGCGACGGACAGCGTTCCGGCGGCCGTAGTCGACGTGGTGGCGGCGGATGTTGTGGCTTCGGTGACGGCGATTTTTTGCTGCGACGACTTCATGTTTCTCGTAGTCGGCATTTCAGCGATCCGGCTTCAGAATGGTCTTCCTCCAGCGATCCGGCTTCTCGATGTACCAACGGTGTTCCTCCAGCAATCCGGCTCGAAGGACCACGATGAACGGTGTGGACTGCCGTACGGTGAGCGTGGACTGTAGGGGCGTTGGTTCAGGCTGGAGTGAAACACAGCGATTACTATTCTGAAGCCTCCGGTACCGTCTGAAGAGAGTATTTTTTCTTCTTGTCCTATTTCTTCTCGAGTGTAGTGCGTCGCTGCCCGGAAGCGAATGCCGCTCGACGGGAGGCGGCCTATCTTTATACCCGCCCGCTCGCACGATAACATTTCCAACTCGCGTTAGCGATCTGTGCGAGCGGGACGGGGCGAGAATGAACGAGACGCGTGTCTCTTCAGTTCGGTACTCTATAGCGTCTATTTATTGCAATTTACAATTTCTTAATTCTATTTATTGTTACAATTTCTATTCGTAGGTAATAATGACAACACGCAAAGGAATACTTTATTTAACTTACACTATCTTAAATCTATGTAAAATCTATATAAAATAACAGAATACAGAAACGATTAACTAGGGACTTAACAACTATAAATTACGATTACATATATACAAATAATGTCGCGAACAGTTAACAATCATCTATTAAAATACTACAACAAAATGTAATTCAGACGTGACAGATATGTACCTCTGTATCTTTGGTACCAATAAGTATGCAACACTGAAATGAAATTTAGATTATATTGACATATGTCAAACTGTCATTGTCAAATCAAATTATGACATAAATCATTAGGTGTGTTGTGTAGTTGATATAATCAACTTTATAATTCTTTCATTTATATTGTCGCTAGAGTGTATGTAGATAAGAATAGTTTTAAAAATAAATAAACCCGAAAATAGTTTATCCTCGTACAATGAGTAATGTAGAATTAAATAAGCCTCCAGAAATAAATGCTTCAAATGGCGGTACTAATCAAGATATTTCGAGAAAAGAATGGGTGAAATTTGATGACGATAGTGAACAAACAAACCTAAATATCCCTCTAGAAACTAAAGTAATCACTGGAGCTGTTTCTACTTCAGTTCCAAGCACATCAGAAGTCTCAAACCCTGAACCAGCAGCTGTTTTAAAAACTGAGACTGTACAGATAAATCTTGAACGCGGAGATCGAAATATAGATCCCGTGACTCACAGTACACTATCTAAGAACGTAGAATTTGTCAATATTCGTCAAGGATTTAGTAAGTAATTTATAATTATTTGGATAAAAAACTTAATGTGCTTAACCAATAAATAAAATTCTAGCAACCTGTATGACTAGAGTTACCTTAAAATATTCACAATTTCCTATCATTTCAGCCAATGGTGAAATAATCGTAACATTACTGCCTGTCAATACTAAATGGCCATGGGTGACTGCAGCACATTTTCGTCCAGAATTAGTGCCAGAAGAACTAATGGCTCAAGGACTTACAGTAAGTTGTAATATAGGAATTTGCTTGTTAATAATATGTACTACAATATGATAATTATCAAAATCAGAGGCTTGCTCCAGACATTTATATCTAAAACTAATATGTCCGTTTCAGCTCACTGTTGAAGAATATGTTCATGCAATGGAGCTACTTGTTAATGATGCTCGTTTCACACTCTATAATATTTGCTATAAGAGAGTCCTTGTCTGTTGGATAAGCCTTGCATTTCTTGTACTACTAGCCCTACTGTTTTCTGGTTTAACAGGACTTTTTTTATTTTCACTTGGAATTTTATGGCTTATTCTGAATGCAGCTGCAATCTTTTTATGTATGTGGATTAAATTGAAACTTTCTAAAGGACTCGAACAGTGCTTAGCGACTGTAAATAAATTGCTCAATAAACACAAATTAGTATTGGCTTTAGATGACAGAGGAAAACTTTCATGTCATAAAGTTAATTTATGTTTTATATATTTTGATTCGGGACCTTGCATTTCCCACATACAACATTTCATTGAGAGTGAAGAAGGAAAATCTATTATGCAAGGATGGGAACAAAGGTTAGATGTGCCAGCTAATGACATTGTTATTCAAGGGACACAATCAACAAGGCTATCAAGAAAACAGGTATGATATTATTTTATGACACATTCTGTTCCCTTAGGATCATGTGTGACTTAATAAAGTTAGGTAAATGTAATATCCATTATAATCTAGGCATTAGCCAAATAGGGAATAGCAGCAAGTATGATTTTTATTAGTTATAACTTTTAAATTTGGGGGTATAATAAACAATAGACTCTTCTTATTTTGTCATGAATGTTTACAAATAAACTTGTCTGAATGCCATATCCTTAACATTCTCATGCTAATATATTTCCTCTTATTCTATCTGTATCTATTTATCCAATACATGTTAAATTAATTACATACTCGATTCTTATTATCTCTTTATGTTGTGTTGTTACATTATGGTGATGGAATTATTAAATATATAGGTAAATATTTATTTAACTATAGCATTGTACAATGTCACATTATTATTTACTAACTTAATTTTAATTTTTCTAATAGCAAAATAAAATATAAAGTCCAATATTAATTTATTTGATAATTTTATAAAAAAAATATACTAAACATCTCTCCCTAAACAATTAAAGAATAAGTGGAATTTATCAATATTATAACTAATATAATTTGGGAGTTTTAAAATAAATGGTCTCTTAGATTACATTTCACATGCTATTATAGTATTTATGTTTGGATATGGAACAGAATATATTTTACATGCATACATACATATTTGTTATGCCTGTCAATTCAATTTCTAATAAGAATTAGGGTAGGCAGAAACAGTGGAATGTCAAATGCTTTTTTAGTAAATAAATATAAAATCCTTGCTAAAACTATATATTTAAAAGTGCATTTGTTTGTTTGCTACCTTCTGGTTCTTTAATGGCTTAAGTAATCATGAAATTTGACATACACCATACAATTTGAAATGGATATATTTTGATCACATGGGCATAGTCAGCTATATATATATGTATATATCATATAGTCAATGTAGTAAATACATAATCCATTAAAACATCTTACATAAGTATGGTTCCTTTATTGGATAATGGTTCCTTGTTGGAATGCTTCATATACTACCTGATATGCTTGATATATGCTTCAAATATACCTAAACTATGCCTAGAGTACCTACATTCTATTACTGTGTCCTATGACACACCATCTTTTCAACTTTGCATGTTGCATGCACCAAAATTTATAACTAGATGCCTAAAAAGTTTTTTGAAATGGGTAGTTCCTATGTTATACCAAACGATAACATACATGTACTTGTTTTTAAATTTAACATTTACTATAGGTACTTCATGTATATATCAATGTCACTAAATTAATTACTATGCATATTATGCTTTGTCATAAACATAATTGTATTTAATCTTGTATTTAATCTCAGGTGTAGGTTCTGATGCTACTATTTATTTATGTGTGTGACTAATATTTATATTTTTTAAGGCTTTGGTATTTCTATAATTTGCAAATTTTAAAGGAAATGGGGCAAGGATATCTGGTTACACTGTGCATTAACAATATTTTTAATTCAAACAAAGTTTTAATTATGGAATAAGAGCACATATGAATACAGATTGGTTTTTATACTCCAGACTTAGGGCTTATTTTAGTAAAATAAATTATATGAATTGATTTGTGAAAAATTCAATTTCAAAAAACTAAAGGAAAAGGCACGAATATAAAAGTAAAATTTTTGTTCATTAGTAAAGCTATTTGAGAATGGCTGGTTGGGTCGATTCTCTTAATATTTTTTTAATTGTAAGAGCCCGGTTATGTTTTTTAAAGAAAAATAATTGGTAAATTACTTAAAACATCGAAAATTATATTTTTTTGTATGCTTTTGATAACAGGGCCCTAATTTGATCAACAATTCTTTTTTTACTTGTAAAAGTTTTTTTTACATTTTAGTGTTAAAGAACTTTTATTTTTTATTTATATAGATTTTATTATTTATTTATACATTAATACAAATATGTGTCCATGGCGGACTTAATGCTAAAAGCATTCTCTCCCAGTCAACCATAGGGAAGTGTCAAAATACTCGAATGCGGTACTAGTAATTATTGATATACATACATACTAAAATTACATAAAAAAACTTATAAATATATATAAATAACAAATACTTACACATATGTATATAACATATACTATATTATACATGAAATTGAGAATAATATAAAGTACCTACTGCTCGAATAAAGTAAAAAAGTGAGCATGAATATTTTTTTAAAAGACGGTTTAGGGTGTAACCTCTTAATTATACTATACATGTGAAGTGAAAAAGATTAAAAAGTAAACATTTTTGTTTTTATTAAAATGAGGCTGTTAGTTTTTGCCGATATTTAATATTACGTTGTAGAATATTATTTCGACAAGTACGCTTGAAATATTTATCTATATAGCAATATTAATTAGTCGTAAGTGATATTTTACATAGTAGACATTTAAAAAAAAAGTAGTACTTAAAGTAATATAATTAATAACAGTGTCCGTATGCATATGTATACCTTAGATTATGACTAATATAAAATGGCAGTGTAAAAGAGAAAAAAAAAACATACATACATGTATAAATGTTAGCAGATAGAAAAGTAGGCTATTCGTCAACACTATATAAACTCGAAGCTGAATATGCGGAATAGGAATAAAATAAATTCTTATTGTTTTTTACATTTTGAAATGTAATTAAGTAGTTGGAAGCGAATGTAATTGGTTAAAGTGTGCTGTTCTTGGGTATAAAGTAAAGATTAACTGGGAGAGAATGCTATATAGCATTATGTCCGCCCTTTGTATCATTCATTTTTTGTAATGTGGTCAATAAAGAATAAATAAATAAACAAAATTGCAAATTGTTCACGTAATTACCTACGCTGTAAACATTTATGTTTTTAAATGCAATATTATAGAACAATCAGAAATATTTTTTATAAAAATTAGTAAAATATCTAATTTAATACAAATAAAGCTCTGAACGTCCCCGAATCGAAATTATAATTACAACAAATACGAGAATTTTTCTAACTTGTAATTTAAATCCCATATAAATTCAGACCTGTCACATGCACACTAATGTAACCATTTTCTTATCTCGTTTTTATGATTGCATAGCCAGTCAGTACGTAGTACGTTATACTACTTCTATGACGCATTCTACTACATAGTTTGCATACTGTACTTATCACGTGGGTACCTATCATATATTACTTTTCTAGAGATATCGGACTACTACTAATATAATTACTATTTAAGACAATATTGCTCCATTTCTTTTCTTTTTGCAATCTATTTAATATTTCTATTAACAACAATCTTGTAACATATCTCCCAATAATGTAGCTGTTGCAAAATAGTAAATTGTTCATAGGGTGTTAGTAGCGTTAATGGGTAAGCAAGGCATATGAATGTACAGGGTATGGCAGAGCAAGTGTACCTCCGGTATCTGCAGCGGTGGGGCAAAGACTTCCTGCGACGCCGACTCGACTGGACTTTAGATGAGGAGGGTGGTAATCCCGCAGCGCCACGTCATTTAACACATGCGCTATGCCCTTGTCAATATGTTGAAGAGATTTTGCGGAACAAAGAACCCAGAGATACACGCGCTTGTTGTCCGCGTTGCAACGATTGGCTCAGGCGCCGTGGTCTCGATTGACCAAACAGCTTAACGTTTGGCAAGTCTATATTTTTGTTACATGGACAAATAAATCCAATTTGTTTTAATAAAAAAAAAACTTAATATTGAAAATACTTTTTTACAGGAAAGAGGTGCACTTCTATATTTGCGATATGTGGGTCGGTGGGGGGCATATGCTTTAAAAAATAGACTGAATCTTAGTACTACAGTGCCTGGGCGTCATGGAGAGAAGTATGTCTGCCCTTGTCAGTTTATAGAAGAGCACCTACAAACGAAGCCGCCTGCGGGCATCTCAAAATTTTTCACATTGCCCAATCCGAATGTGCAACTGTATTAATGCCTAATATCGGAGATATTATATTTCATGTCCGTCCATTTAAGAATAGCCTAATAAGAAGTAATAATGAGTATACCCACTGTATTTCTATATCAATGTTCTTTTTATACATTCTTAACAATACATATTTATATATGTAATACTTTTACTTCTACTAATATTTATACATTTTTAAGTAAGAAACAAAGTTTCATTTTATTTTCTATCAAATGCTAAGTGTCATAGATTATAATTTGTGGCCATATGCATAAACGTATTTATCTTTTATAGGATTAATAAATTCATTATATTTGTAACTTGCATAATTAATTAAACTACAATGTTTAAACTTCAGGTTGTTATTAATAGTTTATAGAGTAACAAATAAGTAATATATTAAATTATTATGTTCGATTGTATAGTAAATTTACACCTCGGCGCCAAAATAAACAATAAAATTTGTGAACATTATATTATATACATTGTATATTTCAAAAATATTTATAATGTTCATTTAAAAGCTTTAAAATTGGCATCATATTATGATCATATCAAACTTCACAATTTGTAATTTATGGTACCTACACTTTGCACACAATTCTTGCTGCTTACAATTGAATATATCTTTTTATATGCTCATTATAGCATAACACAATATCGTATATGATTTTACGTCACGATATAACCGGAGAGCAAAATATATGTAATAGTTTATGATTTAAATTTCCGTGCACGTCCGCAATATCTTAATCCTGTTCTTGTCTACGTTACTATTGCGAACATTAAAACCATCTCTATGTCTTTGCATAATTATTTTATTATATGGTGAACATAAAATCGGACGATATTGGCTTATTCTATGGTAAGTTATAAAAAGACCCATTATACATTTCGACATAAAATGATGGAATCAAAAAATAGTAATCACGCGAAGTAGTGATGATTGATACAAGTTCTTTGAATCTATTATAAAATGTTTACATTAATCATCAAAATATAGATTACATAATATATAAACACTACATATTAATAACTATCTCTAATTTATCACCATTGTGTATAATTCAGAGGAAACTGATATTGGGATGAAGTGGAAAATAATATACTTTACACATTATTTCTATACAGAAATTGCGTTAGTGTAGGTATATAATTACTATATAGGTACAATTTGAGTAACAGTTCTATGTATGGTTGTGGATAATGTATTTAGAAAGAACATGTAAAGTTACAGGTGTAGAATCTCTAATGTAAATTATTTCAAAATCACATTATTACACAACTAGTCATAAGAGATGTACATTTATATATACACATATTATAAATATTTATATTTTTTATTCTTTTTTAAATGTGTTTATAATAAACCAAAGGGCTTAATTATTATTGAACACTTTAAACGATTTAAGCAGAGTACATAATTAAAATAAACTTACTCCATTTCATATACGACGCTATTGCAATAATGTCATGCATTATATCTTACGGTATGTGCATATATAAAAGATGAAAATAATCTATTTTTAATGATTATTCAATTTGTAAACAACCTATAAATTTTACTTTGAATTATTTATATTTAAATGTTTAATTTTTAGTTAATATTTGTTTGGCCATTTTTTGTCAAACAAGTCATTAAAGATTGCCATATCGTCGTATATGAAATCGAGTTTAAAAATATAGAACAATTTTATACTAAATTTAATAATTGATCTGACATTCTTTCACGTACTATTAAGGTGAACGCGCACTTATATTGAATCCCATCTGTGTACCGAACACTAAAGCATATAATTGATATCAGTCCTGAATTATCTATAGGTATAGGCAATATAAGTTACTATTTATGTACCCGGCGACACCATGGAGCCCCTTTGCTCATGTGAAAAATTAGTGTTTTAGGAAATGACAGATTATGCATTAATATCAGACAATATATTATATTATTGTGTTAAAAACTAACATAAATTATAATGTAACTATTCACTAATATCTAAGTATCTATATACTTATTTAGAAGTAGAGAGACTCGAGATTATTATTGTCTAGGGGACTCCATGTGGCTTAAAATCAAGTGTACCTATTAGCAAAATATTTATTTTTTATGTCTCATCTAGGTAAACGTATACGGTATTAGAAAATATAAATATTATGGTTATTATTGAAAACCGTAACAGTTTTATAATATGTTGATTATAATTTTACCAGTTACGGTCACATTTCACATTGTTGATATCCAGTTTCAATAAATAGGTATATTCAAGTGTGCATTTACCTAGTTTCAGTTTTAAATATAAGTTTTAAGTTCACTTGAACATTATTGTACCAAGAAATTGCACGAATAAAATGAGATATACATACAAATTTATGTGTTACGTTTCGTCAAAATAAATAACTACTACATTATTATTACATTAGTTTACTGTGCAAATGTAAGGCTTCGTTTTAACTTATAATGTAATTCACCGTCAGATTATTTTGATATCTTGGGAGCTGACGTTGATTGTAATAGGTAATTATTTAACTGCTTAAATTCTGTTCCACCATATCTAGAAAAACAAGTTAGTATTAATCTTTACTATGTACATTATTAGCTTATGACATTGGACTAAAATATTATTAAGTCATTAATAATTACGTATCACAACTAAATTGGATCGATTGACTTCTAAGATATCAATTTTGTCTGCGATGCATATCACATTAGATAGGAATTTATGAATTTACTGTACATAATATACATTCTTTATAATATTTAGGTATTTTGTGAAATTAATTAAAATTCCAATGTTGTGATTCAATAATAACATTCCGTCCAAAAGTAACTAAGTACTTAATAGTTCAGTAGAAAATGATATTTAAATGTTTATCACATTTTACTTTGATAAGTCTTGTTGAAAATACATATTATATTTTATAACCCAAATTGTTTTTAATCTGTCATCTTTTTTGTGTAACAAACCTACTTCAGAATTACCTCAATAAAAAACTGTAAGTGTACATACATAAGTCTGACTGTCTACGATGAAGTGACTTATCAGTTAATTTCCTTTTTAGGGTCATGATTTTATCGATAATTTCACAATATAAGTACATCTGAGTTTTGTGTATACTATTTCAAATTAATGGTCGAAAGTTGGCAGCAGCATCCTTCTTAAAACATCACTAAAAGCCTAACTGCGGTTGCCAGGGGGGAGAAGGGATTGTTAGTAATGGGGATTAGCAACCTCATTGCTAGAGAATAAACCCTATTAGGTCGACCTCCACGTGGTTCCCCCTGGAAACCATCATGATTGATTCGTTGTTGAATTTGTCAGGATGGGCTAACTGACCTGCTTCATTCTCACCTGTCATCCCTCACTGGTGCCCCGCCGGTGTATACCGATAGCGCAGGCGGGGTTGCCATTCCATTATCATCCATTAAAAAAAAACTGCGGTTGCCAACCCGCCCGCCAAGCGTAACTACAAGGAAAACCCCTTATAGGGAAGGCTTATGTTTGACAGTGGACAGTTAACGGCTGATATGATGATCAGAAACAAATAATTTTTAAAATATTTGCCTGTATAACGTATTTTTTACTTATTTCTGTTATCTGCAAGTCCTGCTGATGTTGATAGCAAATAATGGGGCCGAATCTGAGGCGCTATTTGTCTAACGATTAGACAAATGGCGCCTAGTTATACTCTTATCTTTAAAATCAAAATTTCAATTGAATAAAATAAAACCTTTATATTAGGGACCGGTACGAACTAGATCTCTAATAGATATTGTTATAAATTTAGAGTATGATAGTCCATAAAACAGTAATTTCGCTGAACTAACGAAATAATAGGTTAAGGGATGGGTTTAGAGAAACGGCGTTTCAGAATTGCCCCAATGTTTACTGGATTTATTATTTTAATGCTACTCGTAATTTTAAACTTGACACCAGGAGGGCGACATTCTCATATGAATTTTAGTAGTAGTATTGAAATTATTAAGAAAAACAAATTAACATAATGGTGTTTTACAGTATTCAAACATCCTCTTTAATGGGAGTAATTTTAAAAACATTCTGCACTAGATATACTCGGTTTTACAAAACATGTAACAATAATAAAGCAGCATGAAATAGATGGTAGTTCGGATATTAAACCGAATGTGGAATGAATAGTTAAGTAGGTATTTATATTTAGATAGGTATCTGTTCGTAAAAGGATGTAGGAATTTAAGTAATATTTTACACCATGTTTAGTTGATCAGTAAGGACACATTGCTTTAGATGATTTCAATTTTATGTCCATTTATAGACTAAAGTTATCTGTACCTATGCAAGAAAAAATAAGGTAATTGTGGTAGGTATATAATAACTACTACTAAATAACTTGTACAATTAATTATAATTACCTAAAATAAAAAAAAAAATATATGGCAAATATGCGTGAATAGTTTAGCCTTTAGCAAAGTGAATAATTATGGGGAGGTAATTGTGTGCTAAGAGAAAAAGCTCTAGGGTGCTCAATATTAATTTATCTGCAGTTCATACTTCTCTTCTTCTTCAACTAGGCAGCGTGAAATTAGAAACATTTTATTATTTAACTGCATATTTAGTATTTAAAAATATTCAATTACCTAAAAATTATCCGTGGGAACAATGGGATAAACAAAAGTGTTAAATAATATTCGTTAAAGATTAAGGCGAAATTTTCAATTGAAACATTTGAATTTCAAACAAATTACGTTTGCATCTCGAACTTTCATCAATAACTTAATCTCAGAAAATCCTTATTATTGAAAGTTTCAGTTGTAGCCAAAACAAAAATCGACAACCGGCTATGTAAAATTTAGATTAACAAATTAACAAGTGTTAGTTTTTTTATTGTGTATAGTGGCAAACAAACTGACGCCTCTTATCTGATGGAAAGTGGTCATCATCGACATATTCACGGCATCCCATATATGCTATTATTCCAGTGACAGTCCTCAGAATACCAATTAAATTATGAAGTACGATGACGTAATTTATCACGTTATGCCAACGTACTTAATAATTGCACTGGTATCGAAGATGACGTGTGTCTTAAATATTGTATACATATTTCTAATCAATACACACCTTGAATAACTAATTGAAGAACTTGGCAAATCCTTGATGTACAGACATGTTTAAAATGTTTGAAAACATTTTAGAATTTAGCAATTGCCTTGCATTGAACTCTTACCTATATGATATAGATTGAAAAATTAAATCCTTTGATAAGATTATTTGCCACTATGAGGGCATCGGCCTGCCAATCATTTATTTAGATATTAGAACAAATCTACGAACCTTTTCCGATTGTCAATTGAATGACATTCCGTTGGATCTGGTCCTTAGATTATATAGATAGTGTCTCCATACAAATGCTTAAAAAAAAGCGGGTGATTTTTTTGTACAATTTTACATGATATATATAGTTATGTTTCCTTTATAACTCTTATATTTATTTGTTTTATAATATTTGCATCTTTTTAATGCGTAAAAACTCATTTATAAAATAAATAAATAAATATACATACTTCAAGATACATTATGGGCGTAAGTATTTTTTTTGATGGGTCTAAATGGAATGGTAACCCTGCCTGCACTAACGGGATACGCTGCCGGAACACCAGTAAAGAATGATCAATGAGAATGAAAACAGTCCAGTTAGCCTATCATGATGAATTCATCAGCAATTAACTATGATAGTTTCCAGGGCGAACCACGAGGAGGTCGACCTGGTTGGGTATATTGCTAGCAATGGGATTTTTAGTCTCCATTACTAACAGTCCCTTTCCCCCAGTAAGTATATTTCGACAATTAGCTGACAAAAAGATGACCCGTTTTTGAGACTCGATTCTCTATCTATATAATCAAAGATCTGTTCTACAAGAGGATTACATTTTCCAATCTTAAATAATATTTATTATTAATCTTTAAAATGTTTGGATATATAAAATATAAATGTACCTAACAATATCTAACCCCCACCACTAACACCAAATTAAGAAAGCGATAAGTGTAAATAAAACAAAGATTGTCTATATATTATTTTATTAAAAAATAAAATGAGAGATCCACATTCAAATTATGATATCGAACAATATACAAATCTAAAATCAGGTTTTTGATTTATATTTATATCATATTGTAGTACAAATACAAAATGGCTAAATATCACAGACTATACATCTGAAAAAAAATATAATTTGACTATATCCCTGCATATGAATGCGTCTATGAAATACATATTGTAATTAGTGGCTATTAAAATTAATTGTAGGTAAGATAAAATTAATTGTAGGTAAGATAAAATTAATTGTAGGTAATATAAAATTTATAGTAGGTATATAAATAAGTATATTTTATAATTTTGATCATCTGAAAAAAAATATAATTTGACTATATCCCTGCATATGAATGCGTCTATGAAATACATATTGTAATTAGTGGCTATTAAAATTAATTGTAGGTAAGATAAAATTAATTGTAGGTAAGATAAAATTAATTGTAGGTAAGATAAAATTAATTGTAGGTAATATAAAATTTATAGTAGGTATATAAATAAGTATATTTTATAATTTTACTAACAAAAATTAATGACCTGCAATGAATATTTTCTGCATAGCCAAAATATCACTTTTTTAATTTTTAATATATATTTACTAAAATACCAAAAATTGTATTGCTTACACAAAAGATAATTTAATCGCACAGGTTTTGAAACGAATAAATGAGTAAAATATATTTTGAAACAATAATTATAAAACAAAATCTAAGTAAATATTATCAATTCAAACAACAGTACAAAACAAAAATAATTAAATCAAAATGACACGAATAACATTATGATAACTTTACCAATCTAAAAGGTGTTTTAATATTATAGCAGGGGTGGCCAACTTGACTAGACCCAAATATACTGTTAACTGACGAAACCCTGTGCGATCTACTAATTACATATTTCTTGATATCTCAAATTAAACAACATAGTTCAGTATATAATGATGTAGTATTGTATTTTTTATTTTTTTAAGAGGGAAAACATAAAACTGAAAATTATTCTTGAGTAACTACTTATTTATATTAGTGTGAGCATTGCGTCTGAGCATCTTCCGCTAGATTAGTAAAAATTTTATATTTTTTGCCTTGCCAAGATGGACTAGAGTAATAGTCGCGATCGACCTCCCCTGGCGGTTGTCCACCCCTGTACTATAGGTATTGAAATACATCATCATTTTGATGTGTTTCAATACCTTTTGACTAGAATATTTATTTAGACGTAAAGCCTGGAAAAACTAATTTTGTATTATAGAATTACGTCGGTCTAATTATCAGAATGCGTAACTCCACAAAATATCAATATCAGACTTTTAATGCCATCTAATAGAGTATTTTGAAGCCTATCCACTGAATTACTTCATATATCTTACAAAAATACAGCTAAACTGTTATGAGTTAATAATTAAACAACCTATCTCCTGACTGCCATTTTGTAATACGCAAAATGCTTAACTCCTAACTTCAATACGGTTTCGCCTATGCAGTAAGGTGTAAGCGTGTCTTTAAGAGCAATAAGTTAGCTGAAATTAACATTTATTGTATTAATATTTAATACCGTATTTTGAAAAGTAATAGTTAATTTATGTTGTAATTTTCCAACAACAAGATAAAAATATTATTAAGTAAAAGACAAGAAAAAATGGAAGATATATGTACTAATGATGTCAATCCATCAGAAGAAATTAACCCATAGGACAGACTGTGACTGAAACATTACGACATTAACTACGACAAACAACACATCTCAATAGGTTTGAAAAATAAGACAAACGACAGACTAACACTGTGGGCCAACGCTTGGTTAAAAAATACAATGTCTCAATTGCCGTCAAGAGACAAAAAGTTAAAACCAGGATTAGAGTGTCAATAAACATAAAGAATAAAGGAAAAAAGGATAACTATATTTAGGAAGGAATTTAGAACTATATAGAAGAAAATAGATAATAGGAGTTTTATTGAGCCTAACAGCGAAAGAAATATCAAAGGTAGATGCAATTGCAAACTAAGTTTGAACAGCGATGTCAAATTACAATGAAAAAAAACTTCCGAAAGAAGAACGATAAAAATGGTGAAACATTTCTGGAACATGAGCTGGAAAGAAAAGAAAGTTTACGACAGAATGTCTCTCATTTAGAAACGTAAGCAAAGAGAAAGATGTGCTGGGATACCATCAAGGCGAGAAAATTCCTTGTGGAATTATATCTCTTTGATGGCAAAGGGAATAAATATAAAGAGGATGCAAGAGAATGTTTTTAAACAGTTAGTCTGTTAGAAAATGTGTCACCAAAAATGAATTATACACAATGACGATGATGTACATAAAAAATTACCAAAAAACAATGTTAAAGATGAACCCTGTAAATAAGCACGAAAGTTTTTTGATACATTGCCAAAACATGAATTTCATTATATTTTGCAATAACATTATTGACTTTTATTATAAAAATATGTCCTACTATGTTGTAAGTAAATAATAAAAAGAATAGAAAGTCCTAACACCACTTGCACTTTGAAACTCCAAATAATATTTGCAATTGCAGCAAAAAAAAATCGTAACTCCATTTTCTTAATAATCTAGTTTGCAAATCCAAAAATCAATTGTGAAATTAAATTCCTTGATCATTTTTACTACTAGATTCAAAATTGCATTAAAATATTTTCCCCGTATAGTAAAAATAAACAGTTTTTACTTGTTCTGTAAAGTTAATCCAGAAGGACTTAAGCATTCTGATAATTAGGCCGACGATTAGGTATCTCAAATTGTTCCCAAAATTTACCTACTAATTACACAGCAGTAGTAATAGAAAAAGTTTACCTTCATTACCACACTGGGTACAGATATTTTATAAGTTATCATAAAGCAATTCGTAATACGTTACACTCAATAATGATTAATAAAAATATGTGTCAAATATTGAACTAAAAATCTTTAATTTATATTTATTTTTGTTTTGATGTAATGATTAAATTGAAAGACGACAATTGAGCAAGAACGATAATTTCATTAATATTGCTAAAGATATATGTAAATAAAGGAACAAAATTTATTCACTATCGTTTTTACGAGATTTTTTCGGCAGTTCTTTGTTATTGTCACCTGCAGTAAATAAATCGCGAAAATAGTTTCGCTGTTCCTTTACTTGATAATCCTTATCAGTATTTGTAATTATATCTCTGTTACGTTTCAAATTTTTATCTGGAACCTCTTCTCTAAGATCTATAGAGGAGGCCAGTGACTCGAGCGACGTGACAGTGGAACGTTCTTGTATTTTGTTGCGAACTGAGAGATCAAGGAAAGGTCGATTTGCAGACTCGGCGACGGTCTGCACCGTAGTCGAACTTTCTGTGGCAGGGAGACCGTCTAATGCGGCCAGTCGCATAAGCTCTCGCTGCGAATCACGTGCCTCCATCAGAAATATGCTCTCCTGTTCACCGTCAGAGTTGTGATCAGCCGAATAGAAGAAAAATAAATATAACACTGCGTTGGTATTTACATATATTACTACAATTATTAAAATGTACAAAACAGAAATAGTAATTTCCCTGCTGACATATTCACAATATTTGTAAATTTTTTTAATTGTCCGAACAAAGTTACGAAACAATGTTAGAAAAACCGAGTTAAAAAATTTGTCGCCTGACAAGACATAAATTATTTCTAAATCATAATATAATTAATATATGATAATAATTAATAATTAATAATAATTGATACTTACTTAGTTTTACAATCTAATAGAATTCGTCTAATTTTTTAAAGAATCTAGAATGGTTTTGGGTAAAAAATTATTACACTACAGAAAAAAGTTTAAAAGCGACAAGATTTGCTAATAGAAATCTCTTAGAGATAAGCTCGCCTTTGTATGTTACTTTTAAAATTAAATGTTTTATCACTATGTTTGTGTAGAGTAAAAAATATTATATGTGCTTGTATTTTGTGCAGACAATTAGCTTGAAGGTATAGTAGATATATAAGAAAACATGTAACTTGTATTCTTCTATACCTGCTAGGCTTGTATGCAGTACAATGGCTTATTGTGATTCAAAAGTGCATGAAATAGATATATTTAATAATAAATTCCAAATATTCATACTTATACTTCTATTTTCTAATAGCAAGGTGTTATTTTTAACTACGACATTAAAAGAACAAATTATTTACCTTAACTTCTTTAGTGGTATATTGATCGAGCTTATCATATATCACAGCATGCAGGCCCATTTCCTTCAGCCTCTTAATTGTGTTTTTATCATTATTATCATCGCCCCAGCAAAATATAACTAAACCCGCATCGGTGGCTAATTTCACCTGCAAAAATATAAAAAATATAAAGAATTGCACTGGATGGATGAAGGTTTCGGAACATATACAAAATAAAATTCTCCGTAAGTACCCATATAGTTTTAATATTATAAATACGATAGTTTGTAAAGATGTTTGTAACTCAAACGAATTAAAATGGAGACTGCAGTTTATTTTAATATAAATCATTGAAAAGGTGGTAAAGATTTTTTTAATTATAAACAGTTCATAAATAGGATTAGTAACAAATGGAAAAATTTAATCTATTTTTATTTGTATAGTCTGTACATCAACAGACTATCAATGGTATTATTTTTTTACCTTTTCGTAGTTCTTTTATATGACAATTTTATTGAACGAATCATATTTGTGATATCTGTGGTATTATTTATGTAAAGAGGTGACAATCTTAATTTCACTCGGTGGATTACAAACCACCAACAAATCCTGAGACGTTTTCTTTCTCGATAATAGCATAAAGAAAATAATCCTATTAACACGTTCTGATAAGATTAAAATAAAGTGCTTGCAGACGAGGTCGTTGACCCAAGTTAGTGATGTGATTTTTGTATTATTGAAAATAACAACTGTATAAACACCAATACACAGATGTTTTTTAAAACATGTAAATGACTGGAGACGTTACTTACAGACCATGGATAAGAGTCGGTTTGAGGACACCATTTCAAACTGTATTTTACTCAGATCAATGAAATATTAGAAGAAGAAATTAGAGAAGAGATTAAGCTTTTGACCTAATATAAATATATAAAATAAACTGCTTGCTTTAAAGTAGATGACTAATATTTTAAAGCAAACAAATAGGGTTAGGAAAAAAAAAAAACGTCACAACTGTCGACCAGCAGTTTCATTTTTGACGCAATAGAATCGAAATCACCATCGGATCAAAATTAAAAGGAGATTAAAATTATATAATTTGATGTCTATTAGATATGATTTCATTTTATGCATAGGTCAAAATTCTAGTTGCAGATTACACTTTAACCTTAGGTTCTGAATTAATATTATTTTAAGCCGTCACTATACTAAACAACCATGAAACCACAACAATAATTACTTTTATCAATCTCTTCTAATGTACCAAAATAAAATAGACCGTAATATAAGATCTTGCTTTACAAAAAAAGGGCTTTAATAACTTCAATTGTGACCTAATCAATTGTAAAAAGATTTTTTTACAATTTAGAACAAAAAAGAAAGTATGCAATTTATCTTCATATTCTACTTTTTAAGTTATTAATAAAGTCCATCGTTAAATATGCAATAAATATTTATAGTTTTCAATGAAACCTTTAAATTTATGGATTGTATACTAGAAGTCTAGTAAAAGTTTACTACATGCCATAAATATCGAGAAGTTTTAGAACTTAATAATAAATACAAAAGAAATATTCCATTTACCTGAGTTGGATCCCGTAGAAGATCTTCTGTGTGTACTACAACACCCAAAATATCCGAACTAACCGCATGCTGCACAGCAGCCGGTATGGACAGACATCTGGGATCACGGTATGCTGGGTATTTATTGGTAATACCCTAAAAATGACACTGATTATAGAATATTGACCCTTTGAGTTACATACTCAAAGTATTGACCTAAAATTATGTATTAAAATTATAGTAGGTAGGTATACTAGATCACTTTAACAATAAATAGATCATAGGTACACTTACAACAGTTAAAAACATCACGGGATATTTGTTTTGTTTCTGTCGTACCATGGTGCAAATATCTGGATTAAAACCAGAAAATACAATACGCCTCTCTCCTGCATGTTTTAAGACGACTTCTAAAATCTAAGAAGAAATATAAAATCAATCAATGATAGTAAACTTTACATAATAATCCTATAGCTAAAATGAAAACCCAATACATCTCATTCAGTGGGTAGGTGCCCGTTTCTAATAGGCAAATCTTTGTCAGTGGTGGCCTAGGTCATAAATAAAACAAACGAAGAGCAAAAGCGTCAGTTTTGTTAGATATTACTAAATTACTAGATATTAATATAGTTTTTTTTTTTTTTATAATGGCAATATTATTTCTCAAATTGGAACAAACTATACATATTTATAAAAATCATTAAAACCAGTTAAGCGGTTCTGAAGATTAGCGTGAAAGAACATCATGACGTTTTTGACATCATGACATGATGATATTTATATATATTATATGATATTTATTTATATATACCTAGCCCAAATATTTATCGCTAACTTCAGTACTCTTTACTTATCTTACCAGTTTATAATGTATTATTGTTAATATATTACCTTGTCTACATATGTATTCATATCGAATGGATTGTTCAACTCAAAAGTGCCATCACCCATCTCCATGGTCCACTTCAATTCCACATTGAAACCAACATGTGAATCAATATTCTTTAAAGCATCTTCTAAAGTTGGAAATGGTTGATGTTCTTCTAAATCTTCATCAAAAAAAAGTATTTCATGGTTACGGCCTTCTACCAAATGATACACCTATAAATCATAGTTTATACAATTTTTAATTGAATTATTAATAGGCATATCTATGTAGATACGCCTATTAATCACACCACTATTTTGAATGTAAAGTTTGTATATTATATTTTATATTTAAATATATTTTAACACATTTTGATGAAATTAAAGTGTCATACGAGTTCCCAATAATAACAATTAATTTCATGCAGATGAAGTAGCAAAGAAAAATCAAATTAAGGAAGCCAAATTTATAGCTTGAACAGTGTAAAAATTGTAAGAATCTAATACATAAACGGGATATTAAGAACAGAGTACAAAAGAAAATTATTGAAATTTTGAGTGTTAATCGGATTTTTTTCATCGTGAGATCCACAAATTTTATTGACGTATAAACTTAAATTAGATCCAAAGTACAGTCCATCCAACCTGAAAATTATGAACTAAAATACCCAATAATTCTAGTATAGATGTAGATTATCTTAAGTTTGTAGATTATAAACTAAAAATTATAAATCATATATATGTTATAAATAGGAAACTATCAAACATCTTCGTATGATAGTTTAAAATATTAGGTACTAAATCACACATAAACAACTGAAAAAAATTTAAACGCAGACCATGTCCTTTGAACATAGGATAATTATTATGCTAGAACGAGTTCAAATAGGGTAATTTAAAGTTTATAAACTAGCGGAATAATTTAAAGGGATCCAAAAAAAATCTAAAATTTTTGCGATTTTTCATATGGCTGTATCTTTGATAAAATGGAGTAAAAAAATAAATAATTTTAAGCTTGAAAATCTAATTTTGGATCTTGCAAAAAAAAAACATGCCAAGTAACATGTATCGCGCAATCTTAATGAGTACCGTGCAAAAATATTACGAAAATTTTTCGATCTCATTTTTGGTGTACGGCATTGAAAAAAAAATCCAAATTAACCACCTTATGGATTAGATAGGTTGTTCACTTAGCTTCAATTTTTTTTTGGTCTCGATACGACTATTTCTCACTGAGCTATGAATGAAAATGGATCATTTTCTCTTTTTTCTCAGAAACCAATGGTTGCACAGAAAATCGGTGGTGGGTTTCAGAAACTTGAATGAATTCCCCACAAGTTCCTGGCATGATTTTTTCACTTTAAAAAATCGTAAAAAATAGGACTTTTAGGTGTCACGCGCACGTATGCATGCACGCACGCACGCATGCACCCAACCAAAAATTAGAAACTTCAAGCTTTAAATTGCTTTTTTTAGTCCAATATTACCATTTTCATCAAAGATTTTAAAAAATTGCCAAAATTTGAGATATTTTTTCCGCTAGTGTATTATATACTTGTCAATAGGAATTTACGAATTTACTACATTTGTTGATTCTGGTAATTTTTTTCAACTTAATCGGTTAATTTTCTTTAAGGTGAGGATGATGCTTATGTCCCGGCGTATGGACCCGGCCGCAGCTTGTAGTGTCTGTGATGACATCGATGCAGGCAGTGAAGGGAGCTGTGGTGACTGCAGTAGACAATGGTATTGTTGCTGGAGATGAGCTAATGAATCTATTGTCATAGTTGTCAACAGTGAGAGTATCTTGTCTTTGTTACTGCTTTCTTCTGAGGAATCCAGTGCAGCTTGGAGTGTAAAATGAAATGCTATGATGTAAGCACCATACTCACCTTAAAGAAGATATCTGCATAAAGTTGAAATAATTGTTAGAAACAACAAACATAGTATGTTTATATACAGTGTTTTAAATAGTTTATGTTCACATACACAGTATCTAATATACTTAATTCATAGCTGAATACAAAGAAATTATATATGTGCTATACTCCTAGCATGAAATTTTTATATTACCTAAGCTGAAAATACATGTTGATGCAAATAATCCTTATATTATATGAAGTCTTGAATTATAGATTTCCTATAAATCACTCATGAATAGGAACTTTTCTATAAAACAAATTTAACATGAAAATGAAAAAATGGATTGTATTGACTATTACATATTCAAAAGCTAGGTAATAAATAGTGAAAAGAAATCCGACTAAGAAAATAGTTGAGGCAAAGTCACTGGTTTAGATAAAGGCTATTTTATATGCTATTTTTTTTTTATATATTATGAGGCAGAGAAACTTTTTAAATCTCAGGGTGCCACCCTCAAAATGAGTAATAGTAATAATTTTAATATATACTTAATGTGACAATGTAAAATAAACCTTATGCAGTAGCTTGCAAGTAATTTTTATAATTTGATTAAAAAATATTATTTATCTGGCTTTGTAATTACTGCTTTCTTTTTTTAAAAAAAAACAAAGCAGTAATTTATACATACATAACATTGAAATAAGTATTAAAAAATAATGATTATTGCATTGGCATTACAAGTAGATAACACTGAAATCATATAATAAATTGAGGAGGCAAAAATTAAGGACCATGTTGATACCATTGTTGAAAAGCAACTAATAAGATTTTGCTTTATCAACCTATATCCAGCTATATACCTTCAATTTCTGTAGGTGTTCCAAGGTCAAGTCCTTCACTGGTAATTCTAACATTTCAGTATGTTCAACCTCCTTCTTTCTTTTCATAGAAATACATACATGGTAATCATGGTATATAACTGGTATCATATCTTTGCTCAGTTGAACATCAAATTCAAGCAAATCTGCACCACTAGCAGCTGCCTTTTTAAGGGACGCTATTGTATTTTCACGAATAGAATTTCCTCTGAAAATGATTACAGGTTATCCAATGACAATAACAAGGCAAAAATATTTTTGCCATAAAGTATTCAGTTAAAATGAAAACATGAATATAAATATATTTATCATTTTTATCCTATCACATTTGTTATCATATATATGTTTTAAACAATAATAGATACATATCAGATATAATAATAAACTTCAATTAAAAATTTACTTACTCTTTTGTTTTGAAGCTAGCTCCAAGACCACGGTGTCCAACCTCCAAGCCAGTCCAAGATGGGTCCCAGTGTTTAGCATAAGACACCTGGAGGTCACACAGCTTTTCAGGTAATGGACGAATAATCAGATAATCAAAGTTGACTGTTCCCAGTGGCCTGTGTTTAACATTACATGTTACAGGTAACTCTAAAGTGCCTTCAGAAGGCTTAAACATGTTTGGGAGAATATAAGTGTATCCTATATGACATGGTGGGTCTTCAGCAGATGCCCGACTACTATATGAATAGAAGTCAACAAGGTATGCAAGACCTAAGGGATTAGGAGTCATGATATTAATAAGCAATATATCATTAGGCTTGTACTCGCTTCCAAATTGTTCTTGGGCTCTCAAGCGGCAGACTGAAGGATCATTGTCTAGTGTAGACACCTCAACAAACACACCAGCTGGCATTTCAACATCCATTGTGTCTGTGCTCAATGACGAGTCTTCCACTTGTGGTTCTGTTCCAAAAGACAACTTCACCGGTGTTACTTTAATATTCATTAATCTCCCATTCAGCCGACTCTTCAGATGTAATGGATTCTTAGCAAATTTGAATTGTATTAAAGTCTGAGTAGTGAGCCAGCCTGTACTGATATTATGTTTACCATCATATGCACCAAATACATCTTCAACTGGATGTAGTGTTGAGTCTTTAATGACGCGAGGATGGATATTGGTTTCCCAATTTCGAACAATTACATCATTTTCTTCAGTAGGTATACATATGACATAGCGATACAGCACATCAGAAGTATTTGGTATCTTGATGGTTTTGCTCCATAAATTAGTCTCTGACTGTTGCTCTAAGGGCACCATTCTATTAAAATCCCATTCTCCAAGTTCAGCAGTGTTTCCAGTTAGAAACACTTTCTCCTTTGGTCCTACATCTGGTGCAGACACGGTAAAAATCCATTCTTGTGATGTAACTTCATGAACAGCCACAGGTTGTTGCAGCGACATTTTTTTTGGAAGAATTTCTTTTTGCTTTATATGCTCCTCTAAGAAAAACCAACGTTGCATAACTTGTCCATTCACTACGAAATTAACGTTGATGTATGAAAAATCAACGATAATAATCAGAATAAAAACAGATAACAAAATAAATTTATTGACAAGTCATTGCAAATAAATATAATAAGAATATATGTATATATACGACAGGAAATACGACGGTAATTTGCTACAAATAGATAATCTAAAAACAATTCTTTTTTAAAATAGCACTGTAATAAATTGTTTATTATTTGACACGTAGGTATAATATATAATATAATAGAGGTATTACTATTTTGTTATATATAAAAACAAGACAAGACTGAAGAAAAGAAAAAGGAATATGAAAGCTAAAGTATGATTACGTATCGCGCAATTACTATGTAATCGTTACAAATTGCACGATTTTTGCTGTCAATAAAGAAACCATGACCCCGAAACCATAATATATAAAAAACAATTTTGCATGATCAACGCGCGAATTTACTAATAAGACAGAGAACGAACGACTACTGATTATTCGATGGAGCAATTCATTAGGGATTATCCCACGTTTTTCAGTCGTTAAACTACTAATGTTTTATTCTATCGATTACTAGTTTCATTCATTACATGTTAAAATCATTCATCGGTTAATCACTCAATCATCCACGAGTCAGTAAGAACGCAGTCGAATCGACCTAATCGCTGAGTATTCTTTTTTTGATAATGGCCAATCGTGTTGCCAATTTTGTATGTGTAGTAAAATTTAGCAGTATTCGGTTTTTTTTATACAACTTAGAATGAAAAACAAGCTGACAGCCCACCTGATGGAAAGTGGTAACCGTCGCCTATAGACATGAGCAGTACTATAGACATAACAGAATATACTGTTTCACCCATGATACCCCTCATGCATTGCCATTCCTGAGGACCAAGTGTTATTCCTCTATACCCAGTAAATTCATCGGTACTCATTAATTAATCAGATAATAAAGTAAATTTATTATTTACATTTTAAGCGAATGCAATTGACCGCTGGAATGATGTATTAGCAGTTAGTGGTAGTCGAATTATTAATTATTAAAATCATTCGAATACTTATATTAATATATTATCAATTCAGTATTCGAAATATAAAATTAGTAATTACTAATTATTCGACTACAAAAGCATTTGGTTTCGAATACCGCTATTTTGCATTATCTATTTAGGTAGCTATCTAAAAATATAGACATAATATTGTTTATTTCTAGAAATGATTATAGAACAATTCACTAATATTGCCTCTGCTGAGCAATTTAGAAACTAAATTTAGGGTTGCTAAATGTCAATTGAAATTACTACCTAAACGTTAAATATTTTTCTTCAAATCGATTTTCCGTTACATTTATCCAATCATAACTTGTAATTTTTTTTCACTGGGTTTTATCATGTGCAACAAAGTGAACAACAAAAAAAAGATGTAATTACTTCTATTTCTATTCCTTTGGGTCCCTCCTTATCTTCTGTTGTTTCTTCATTATCGTATTTTACTTTATACTTTACAAGTAGTAAATTTATTACTCAAAATTTCCAAAAAATACTCATTTTTTCCAAGCGTATTTAACTTTTTTCCCAAAATTTTATTTCCTTAAGATCTCGCAAACCGAACAATTTTTATTAATATTTGAAAAATATACTCAATCTGGTAACGCTGCTAAAATTACTAATTAATATTATCTTTTTATTCAATTATAAATGACGCCGTTTGTCGAAGAAAAATGAAGTTAAACTTTCAATTTTTATTACAACGCAATATTTATTGTAAGAATCAATATAAACTTATTTTCTAATAAATTTAAGTCAAAATTACTGTAATTTTAGTTTTTAATGGCCCATAAAACATTAATTTCGCGAAATTATCAAAGTAAAATATATGGTTAAGAGAAAGATAGAGGATGGTAGTGAGTTCCATATTCGTATGGCGTGCACAAAGGATTTAGAGTAAAAAGAAAAGCTGTAAAGAGCATTGCATAAATCGTGATTCTGTACCTCACCGAGAAATACAAATCGTTCTTTAAGGTATTTGGGAGTTTTTTTTCATTTAAGAAATTCCTCTTGTCGGTACAACTAATTAATGCATCTTCTTTCAACCAGCTCTAACCGAGACCATATCCTTGATCTCCCTATACGACATGACACCTAGTGTTTCTTTTATCTGCCCCATGTAGTTTTTATTTTTTTATTGGATGAAAATAAAGTGGTAACCCCGCCTGCGCTAATGGGATACACTGGCGGGGCACTAGTGAAGGGCGATAGATGAGGATGAAAACAGGCCAATTAGCCCATCATGATGAATTCATCAGGAATTAATCATGATAGTTTTCAGGGGGAACCGCGAGGAGGTCGACCTGGTTGGATATATTGTTAGCAATGGGATTCTTAGTCTCCATTACTAACAATCCCTTTTCTCCCCCCCGTCCCATGTAGTTATTCCTCGGTCTTCCTCTTCCTCTTTTGCCCTCTATATTTCCTTCTTTGGGAAGTAATTTAGGAGTAATAGGATTAAAATGGATAGAATAAAGAAGCTTTCTCGTTATTAATTCAGTTGCATTTTTTATTTGTTACCTCATAACTTTATTATGATTCGATTTGAAAAGGTTGTTCCTATAATAAATGGTTTTGCCACAATTAGTCGGTTTTTTTGTGAAACACAATCTTAAATTATTAACATTTGTACGCGACATCTTTGTTTTATGCTACGGTCATTCCTTAAATTATATAATTTTAAATATTTAAATTACATTATTTTTATAGTTAGACGCTGCGAATCTCCGATTTTGGAACCCACATTTTATATACACTACGGTGCTAGTACCTCATAATTTCAAGGCATTGATTTAAATTTATGGATTCTCGCTGATGACAATCACTTTATGTATTAAAATGACCAGTGGAATACAGTAGGCAGGTCTAGCTTGATACCACAGAATATTACTTAACTACAGTTGATAATAATATAGTAAACAAGTCAAAAGTTCATAACCACTTTTATTTTAGTTTTTATTTACACTTTTTTCGTACAATATTCATATGAAATTATATACATATTTAACAGTCTTTTAAGTATATAACTCTAAAGAATAATAATTAACTCTTAACTATAAATCCTTATAATATTATGATAATTTCATGAATGCTGTACAAATATAACAGACATGCTTGAGCAGCCAAATAGATTAAAACGGACAATTTACACCAGGATGTAAGAATGAACAGTTATCGCCCTGTCGACAGGAACCTTTTCTTTGAAAGTATATACAAACAGCTTTACGTCCACCTCTGGAATGACCACCGCGGCCTCTTTGTGGCCCTTCCCAGTTTCCTGTATTTTTTCCACGCCAATGTCCACCCGAACCCCGACCTCGCATCGCTCCTCTATAATTACCAGGAGTCGAAAATCCATCTGGACCAGGAGGACCTTGTGGTCCCGACATATTAAAATCAACCGGAAACATATTCTGCTGTATGTTAAAACCATCTGGAGGGACAGGAAACATAGGATTGGGACCACCGAACATTTCCGGTCCCATCATCATATTTTCAGGAGGCATTATCATACCAGGTGGTAAATTTGTAGGTGGCATTACAGGTGGTAGTGGCGTTGGCATGGGCGGCATCATATTGTGAGGGGGTACACCATTTGGCCATTCGCCAGGACCCAGATTAGGTCCTTGGAAACCTGGAACAACAGGAAACTGACCATTTGGAAAGTTACCAGGAAATTGGCCCATATTGGTTGGAAACATAGATTGCACGGTTGTAGTCGTGGATGCTGGAGGTGCGTTGCCTTTAGGTTCAGGCCATGGCATATTACGAAAGTCGCTCACATTATCTTGATTTCCAGTGACATCTTCTAAAGGAATAATTGTAGGTTCAGAATATGGGTGAGTTTCAGGATCTGGTTCGAAAGGAGAATCAGGAATCATTGATTTATGGAAATAAAGTGGCTGTAATGTTCCTTTTTGTCTAATGGCTTGAATTTCTTTTTCTTTACTATTTTTTCCATATTCTACTTGAATTTGTCCCTCAGTATCAATAGGGATAAGAGGTCTCCAACTAGTTTTTTCTTCCATTACATCATCATTACTAAGATTTCTAGCTTTCTGGAAAGCTTCTCTTTCGTGAATTCTTTCCAAATATTTCATATCTGTGAAAGGTTTAGTTACGTTAACTCTTTCAGTTTCATCGAGTTCAAAGTATTGAATTTCTTCTAATTCAGAGTCTGGCTTCCATTTAATGCTTTTTTTAGGGCCTTTTCTTTTGTGATAACATAAAACACCTTTTAAGCCATTAACTGTCAAAGTATGAGGCTCTGAAGTATCCATTTGTTCCTCTATGATATCTCTTTTTGCTATTACATTATTAGTTTCTATATTATCATTATTTTCTGATGTCCGATCTGAGGACTTTTCTTTATTTTCTTCTGTTTCTAAAGTATCTTGATAGAAGCGGGGTGGGACAGATTTATTATCACTATTTGGACTAGTTATCGACGTAGGCGTATGTGGCGGAGATCCTTCATTAGGAGCATTTCCGTCTTTAGATCCACTTGTGCGTCTTTTCCTTTTTTTGGGTTCCTTTTTATTTGTTGCTGAAGCATTTAGCGCATCCATAAACATGTCACTTTCTAATAACATCATTGCTGCAACAATAGAAAAACAGATTTAAAAAAACTGTATATAGAAAATCTAAAATCAGATGTCATACAACTACTCGTATTAAATTATGTATGTGCTGGAAAAGAAAATTGACTAACGTTATAACAAGGTTTAAATACAATCTTTAAACCTTGTTTTTATAAGTAATTAATAAATCTAAAATGTATAACACAATGGTTCCAATAAAAAAAAAATGACAAAGAAGTTTTCATTTTGAGAACAATTGCAAAGTTTTAATAACGATATTTAACTACTTTATATGAACAACGACCTCAAACTTCTGCATCTTAGCGTTATTTTATTAACGGCTAATAAATTTGAAAAGTAGATACATAATAAAAAAAATTATTTTTAATCTTTAAGATAAGAATAAGAGAATAGCAATGCAGACTTCATTCAGATATTTAACTAATAAACTGTAATGTCGTAAATAAACTGTAATATAATAATAAGTAATAAACTGTAATGATGTTTAAAACGATAAAAACATTACACCTATCTTCATTATCTCATACTGATCATATTTAAGCACTAGGTATATTTTTAACATATTCACTTGTAATGCTACATTTTTAATCAAGTACCTATTATTGTAAGTACTTACGTAATAATATACAATTATTGTTTCTTCAACCATTCAAGACAGGAAGAAAGTGCCAAAAATCGCTTTTAAATAATAATCATCATTAGCTGTACAAATACATTGACTTGTTATTCAATGTTTGTTATCCTAAGAAAACGTAAATACTAGAGATACACAAAGAAACACAGTCATTTTTTAAATTCATGTTAATCTAATTATTACATCACATCAAAACGGCTGGAACAATTTTAATGAAATTCTATAATCGAAAAGGTGTAAGTATTGGCTCAATGAAATCGAATGTTTTACCAGAGTCGGTCAAGCGAATCTAGTTTATCAGGCATTGTACAAGTTTTTTAATTGGAACAATGTTTACAAAAACTTCCTCCAGATGGTGTTAGTATGTACTTATATAATATCTTTATGAAATACCTGTTTATTATAATAAATATCAATAGATAATGAGGAAATATTAATTTGCTAAAAGTTTTGCATTTTTTTTTATATATTTATGTAATTATAGTCAATTTAGAAAAGAAAAATTCAAGTTTTATCAGTGTTACGAATATAATTTTAATAAAGTTATGAGAATGTATTAGGTCCACGACCTACAGACATCAAACTAAGACGTATAGGCATATTAAGGGGGAGTGGGGGAAAGCAGGTGGGACATGCCCATCACAAAATGCATTAAAGCTTCACAAAGACATGTCAGAACATATATGTATGTACCTTTTTTTATAGGACGTATTGCCCGTACTCTCTTAATACCGGTGGATCGTTAATTAGACCAGAGATACTAAGAAACAGTAATCTTAATAAGGGTTATGATATTAGATTAGATGTAAAGGACTAGTCCATAATTTAGATTTTTTTTTTAAACAAAAAATTGATAAAAATAGATTCTGTACCGACGAGGTAATGTTTCTTACATATTGCCCGTATTCTTTATACGAATGGACCGTCAATTAGACTAGAGATATTAAGAAACAGTCGTTGTAAAAGGGTTATGGTATTATGTAAAGTACTAGTTTATAATTTGAAAAATTTTTTTTTTATTTAAAAAAATTGATAAAAAAAGATTCTGTACCGACAAGAAAGCGATGTTTCTTTTAAATTTTTTGTATAATACTAGTTTTTTAGTTAGTAGCGTTAGTAGCTCGATGATATGCCACTTTTTCAAATTTAACTGCCCAGTCTGGCTGAAGGAAGATGCATGAATTAGTTGCACCGACAAGAGGAAACTTAAATGAAGAGATGCCCAGTCGTAGAAATTTTGAAATTGGTTATCTATATAGTATATGACACATGTGAAATGAATAACTTTCAATTGTGTCAAACTAAATTATACTAATATATCGGCATATGATAAAAGTTCGATCATTTGCTTGCGAAAGGTAAAACTTACTCGTACAATCTAGAGGACTTGTTGTGCCGCTCATGAAAAACCTAAGTATGACGGATTGTTAATAAATAAATGAAACATTTTAATTATTAAATAGTGTTAGCTGCTCCACTTGTCTATTTTTATACGTTACATATTTGACTGGTTAAACATATACCGTTTCTACATTATATTGTAGGTATTTTATTTCGAGTATATTCAATAACTAATTATTGAGTTTCTATTCAATAATTAGGTATATATTTCTAAACTTATAAATGTTAGCCTATCATTATATAAAAAAACTATTAGTTACAGTGTATGCTATGTAAAAGAATACAATCCTTATAATTATATAAACGTGAATTTGTTGGTTTGTTACCTCATAGCGCCTTCAAAACTTAACCAATCACTATGAAATTTGGTACAAAAAAAAATGTGGGATGGAGGACATAGGCTAGTTTGTATTCTGGTCAAAAAACGTGTCCCGGTTACACAGACAAAGTCGCGGGTAAAAGTTAGTTTATTATAATTGTAAAGACAATTGGCAAACAAAATTATACATAAAAATTTAATTAGGTAATTTAAAAATAGAATCGTAGCTATTCAAATGGACTTGTTTACAAGCTCTTATAGATAGTATTTTTTTATGATTCTACTGCTAGGTTTGGAATGTTATCTGCTGATAATCTCACACTAATAAATGTAAAAATAAGCATATGTTACATAAATCTTTTCTTGAACTAGATGTTATTTTGCAGAAGTCCGTCATATTACTGGTTATTCGATTATAATTATTTTAATTTCGCTATCATTAGTTGTGTGCGATTGCCAACACTCCAAGATTGATTACTATTCTTATTACCAGAAATTGTACAATTTTCCGATTTTCTCCGATTGCCATTTAGTTCACGCACATTTGCGACACATGCTACACCTCCAAACGAGGCAATAATCAGGCAAATCCAAGGATTGCTGTTCAGAGTCCAACGTTAATCGTAACCAAACTGCGAATTTACATTGTCTGAGGATGTCTCATTTGGAAGTAGAACATCTATAGCAAAACGAGTGTAGATGAAATGGAAATGAAAATTTAAATCGATGGCTTATATAAAAGCTTGTAGAAGTTCTGGTAATAAGAATAGTATTGAATCTTCAAGTATTGGCAGTCGAACATAAACTAATAGTAGCGGAATTAAACAAAATAATTCTAATCGAATTAACCAGTGGTTTGTTACATAATCAAGCGTAAATGTCGCTGTAATATAATGACCTGACAATAAATTATTATTATAATCATGATTTGGAAATACATGAATGAAATTTTGAATGCAGTCCATACCCCAGAATTAACACAAGTATATCATATATTAAGAATGTAGGGGGAAGCCGCGAAGTGGGCGATACAGTGTACTATGTTATGTCCATGGTGCTGTTTATATCTATGAGTGACTGTTACCAATTTTCATCAGGTAGACTGTCAGCTTGTTTGCTATAATAAGTTGCATAAAAATGGAAATCTAGTCCGAAAAAAGTTATATTTATTAATAAGTATACCTATATCTACCAGGTTTTTCCCTAACCTAATCTAGTTAATAGTGAATTTAAATAAAATTTAGTATAGTTGGATGTTTTGTTAAATTTGTTTTGATCCACTTTCATACGTTTATCAAAGCGTAATCTTTAATTTTTATATTAAATTAATCCATTTATATGAGAAGTATTTACATTAATAAAATTATTATTATTATCGTTATTTATATTATAAAGGAAATGTATTTAAAAAAGAATCTTTATAAAGAGGTCTGTTTGCATCGGTGCATTTGGCGTTCTATTGTTCCTGTCTACCCCAAATGGAGAAAGGCGTAATGTATATGTAAAATTACGTATTTTAGTTTGCTAATAGAGCAATTTTTTAAATAATCAATCAGAAAAATTTAACTGATTAAGAAACTAACATATAACTGCGGCGGTACCACATTTCGGTAAGCAAAAGTACGAATGTTATTAATTCTATAAAGAAAAAATAATGTAACGCGTTTCTAGTGGACGAAGTCGCTATTACAATACTACATAACAGGTATAACATTGGAAAGTGTGTAAAGATATTACAGGTAGTTAATTACAGTTACAGAGTACAAAGTTGGACCATTTAACTTACCCTAGATAAATAGTGCCTTTTTTTTTTAATTTACGCGAGCGGAGCAGATTAATAGTAACCGTCAATTAATAGTAACTATAAATTGTATACTTAAAAATGCCTCTACAATATAGGTACTTTTATTATTGTTATGGTGTCATAGGTATAATTATGACGCCATAACAATAATAAATGCACCTATATTGTTATTTCTATACGCAATTAGATTATAAATGACTTCGAACCTATTTGTAATACCAATAAGTAGTTTTGACAAGAATCTAATTAATTACCTACGCTTTTTTCAGTTTCTTAAGTTCATTGTAAAGGGTATATTAACAGAATATCAGTGAGAGGATTAATGATTTTTTTAAGATTATTTTTAATAGGTAATATTTTTGTTGATTAGTATTCATATGTTAATATCAAACATAGGCTACCTATATCCTTTTCTATGCCAAATTACTTGAATATTGGTTGAAGAGTTAATAAACTCATTTTAACATTTTAGAATATTAGTAAGAATAAGATATTCTTGAAGCAAGTAAAAACGCTGTTTATACTGCCTACAATAACATATTGCATATAGGACATAAAAATCAAATTACTATTTTTAGAATTTTTGTCCGTTACGTAGTTACGGAAAAATTATTGATGACTGTTTTAGGTAATTGTAGAACAATTGGCTGATCGAATCATGTGGTACAAATTTGATCAGTCATCCAGTTTATGATCTTGCGTAACAGTCTGTTTTAATAGAACTTTATTAAAAAAAAAAAAAATGTAAACAAACTACTATTGACCCGTCCATAAGACAATCTGCTAGCAATATACCATAATCAGGTTGATCCTAAGCAGTTTACACTAGAAACCATCG